CAACTAGATAGATTGATAAAATAATCAACATTATATATTATAAACATTCAATCTTTCAATTTGTCCATGCAACTTCTATAACAAATGTTACAATTGCCCACAACCTAAAAAAAAAAAAAGTATTTTAGCTACTAGTGACAGTTTCATCATCTTTTATTCATGTTTTAAACAACAACCTAGAGATAAAATAGTTTATTTTGAAAGGCGTCATTAGACAGCATCTGTGAGTATTACAGTTGCACTTGGTCTCTCATAGAATTACATTGAAGTGATTTTCTGAATATGATTGTGTTCCATGACTAATGTAGGCTTGATGCTGTGCGCACACATGCTAGCTTGTTATTTTCAAGGCCAGATGCGTTAGAAATAGCAGTCTCTCTAATATCTCCTCCCTTTTATTCCCATGAATTCTATTAAGTTTTCCAATATTGCGTCTCGGGTGCGCTTGGCTCTGAATGTTGATGTTGATGGATCACCCACTTCCTCCTCCTAATTAATTTCATCACCTTATCGCCCAGGCCACTTCATTTGACCAAAAGGTAATAATAAATGTCCCATCCACAATCTTTAACACACTCAGCCAGGCGGAAACACTTAATAACAGCATACAAATTGAACTTCAATCAGCTCATTTTGCGCCGCAGATGCATACGCGCATTAAAACCCAGCATTTGAGAGACACTCTCTGTCTCTCACACGCACACCGTGCCATTTTACGCCATCGGTTGCCAAGCTTCAAACTGAGCGTTATAATACTCGTTTATTACACATTTTATAAGCGAGGATGGAATTCTACCAGTGGCAGGAGAGCCGTTTCCTTTTCCTGGCTGCGAACGCTCTTATCACCGCTCAAACACAAGTGCACACTTTGCCCAACAGAGACTGCTATTCAGAGACTCATTTATCTTTCTGAGAGAGCGCTGGATAGTTCACTCGCTCTCTGTCTCACACTTGCTATCTCTTGCTTTTTTTCTCTCCCGCTAACCCCCCTTTCATGTATTTTTTGGCTTGGGGTGGGGGGGTATTTTCAATTAGATTTCATTCAGTTCTGTCAGAGACGGAGCACATGCTCTGTAGCGGTGGTCCCTGGTGTGTGTGTCGCGCGGAGGATGTCGTTTGCGCACACAGGGTCCTTTGGCAGAGGACAGAGTGTGTGTGTGTGTGTGTGTGTGTGTGTGTGTGTGTGTGTGTGTGTGAGTGAGTGAGTGAGAGAGATGTGTCCCTCTTCATCTCAGACTCGTTTCGCCGGCTGACAGAGACAAATGACAGCACTCAGAAATGACTTGCAGCCTCTCCATCCTAACAGGTTGAGCGGTTTGAAATGACACACACATACGAATGCATTCCCATTTCGACTTCAACCTTTTGTTGTAATTAATCGAATTTCTGATCGCGATTACAATTATGGATGCCACAATCGTTCAAAGCGGAAATTAATCGTTCAAAGTCCACTTATGTTATTCTGCGTGCTGCTTGAGATGCGTTTTTTTCTTTCTACATGTTATCTTAAGGGTTTTTCCCATTATTTTAATTGTAGTTTTAGTATAACATTATAATACCATTCATATATTTACTTTTTTATAATTTAAAGACGAAACCAATCCGATGTATATTTGACATTTGAGGCTTAATACTATAGAAAAGCACTAAAAGGTTTTCAGTTAGAGTGTTTTCAGCTTGTTTATTTTCATTAATAAAAATACGGCATGCAGTTGCATCAAACAATGGTATAAACATCATTAAATGTAAATTGTGATCATCGTAATTAATAATCGCAATTACAATTTTAAGGGAATAATCGACAATTATGATTTTTGTCATAATCGTGCAGCCCTATTTTGTTGTCAGTTTGGCATGAATGAAAGAACATTTAATTTAGAACAAGATTTGACCAAATGGAATAAGCATCGTTTATATCTGTAAAAAAAAGAAAAAAAAGAAAAAGAAAGTCTGTAAAAGCAGCTTTAAATGTTTTTTTTTTTTTCTTCGTCATCATTTTATCATCTGTTTTACAGCTTTTATTTATTCACATTCTATGAGAAACAGCAAGTTTTGCATCTTCTCTCCCATTTACAATGCTGTTTGGATTTAAATACGCAAATGAGAGTCTAGGTCTGGATCATTATTGCAGTGGTTAATATGTTTCTGGAATGTTATGTGACAAATAACAAAACAAGTCTTTTAACCCTTTGTCATGTGTTTCGTCTCTCCCATTTTCAATACAAGATTTTTTCTACAAATCAATGAAACTCTAGATAGAAATAAATGTGGTGATGTTATATAAGGTTGTCGAAACAATGCCATGATGAATGCACATTGTAATCAAAGATTAATCAAAGGCAGTCCAATTAACTTTTTTAAAAGAAACATCCACTATAACAGATTTTCGGACAACAGTCAAGCGAACCTAGAGAATTCATTACAAGACTAGTAGCACGTGAGGTTCGAGTTACAAGGTGCATGAAGACAAAATAAGATATTAGACACATAACAGACAGTCATATCCATCTACAGCATGTGAAGCTAAGGCACTGCATCATTCCTTTATTCCTCAGGGTTTGAGAAGATAAAGTGTGAACTACTGAAGTAGTTCTGCTAAAGAGATGGAACGAACCGCAGGTTAAAGGTCGTCTTTTTAGTCAGCAAGATTTTATGGTCTGAATTTCATCTCCAGATGCCCCTTTCAGAGTTTTTTTTTTAATACAGTTTGTACATTCTCATAGTGATGCACAAATGTTGGATATTTAATTGTTACACTCATTTTGGTTATTTTTTGATTGCTACTGCCATTATCTAAAACTTACTTATAATAGCACAAGATTACAGCAAAATTTAACCTTTAAAGTCACTACTTGCTATTTGATCCAACTTGTATTTCTTTTAAACAAAATTGTATAGATTTTTAATATTGGTCATATACTACCATTCAGATTTGTAACATTATAAATGTCTTTACTCTCACTTTTGATCAATTTAATGTGTCCTTGCTTAAAAAAATATTAATTTCTTAATAATAAAATAAAATCTAACTGATCCCAAACATTTGAACAGTAGTGTATGACAGTTCTTGTTATTAACATTAAAATAATTATTAGCTGTATTTGCTCGAATTTTAATACTGGTGCATCCCTACTTGAGGGTGGGCTGATTTGACTTTAGCCTCTAAACAAAGGCTTAGCAGTCACCCATAAAACCCATGCCTAACAGTTTATATTTTCAGAATGGCGAGTAATGATCTGTTAGTGAAGTGTGTGCTGTGTTGTCTTGTCTTGTGTTGAGCGGTGTGTGTGTGTGGGAGGCTGGGAGTCTCTCAGCATTAACACTGCTTACATGGGGTTAATTTCATTACCGGTCAATGGCAGCTGCTAATACACAATGCAAACAGACAGAGCCTTCAGATGAAGCTCCTCGAATACACTTGGGCACGGATGGGATCTTATCTTTACGAGCCTATCCGTGGTCTCTCAGCCGTAATAAACTCCTCCATGCTCAAACTTCTCCATGATACCTCGGTTAGGTAGCGCGTCGGATATCACATTAATGGTTCGGTTTCCATACCAACATCCTGACAGAGCGGAGATGAGGAAGATAAATAGGAGAGCGGGGCCGTCTCACATGCCGCTTGTCAGGGAGTTTGCGGCGGCGAATGGCACCGTTACCGGAGCGGCGCAACAGCCTTAATCCACATTTAATTGAACTCCGGAGACTTTGAAGTGAGGCTGCAGAGCAGACAGGAGCAGTGACATTGCTCTCAGCACACAGCACAGCTGCTGCCCTCTCTTTCTCTCTTCTTCGGTCCTCTCTGTCTCTCATTAATGAGTGCATATCAGCGTTAGCCTTGATACTAGAAGATCTGAATGTCTGATTAACTGAGCCGCTCAGATCAGTTGTGGTGGTCTCTTTCTCCTCTCTGTCCTAACACCCAATCCGTAATTAAGCTAAATTAGAAATGTGAGGAAACCGTGAGCATATGGAGGAAAAGCAACAGATAGGCAGAATCTTAAGACTAGAGTGTTTATGACAGCTGAGCATCTGTAAATGCAAAATGATGCTAAAATCGTCTTTCGCTGTTTGTCTCAAGAATATCGTCATTTTGCAGGATCAGGGAAACCTGCCATCGTTGGAAGCCTAATTTGTTGGCTTCTACCAAAGGACAGACACATTTGCATCATAGTATTGCAGTGTTTGTCATCAGCAGTGAAAAATATGAAGTGTATTGTCCTTCCTTTTTTTATGCATATTTGTTTTGTTAACTATGCACCATTATATTGTTAGTTGCATTTATTTATTCGTTGGTTTATTTGTTTGTTTTATGTAAATAAATTGATAAAATATGATACAAAAATATTTTATAATTTAAAAAATAAAATTTTTATAGAACTGTATTTGCATTTATCATAGTTTTTTCCCGTTATCTGACATATCTTTGATCCACATCTCCACTTTTGGAGATTCCAGTGTCTCTTATCCAAATAATCTGCAGCTATTTTTTAATTATTATTATTATTTTTATTAAATGTGTATTTATTAAAACTCTTCTGTATACAATCCCTAGATTTAAAAATGGTGCATTTTTTTCTAAGAATTTGTTTTCTGTTCACTTTCCAAAAAGTTGTTTTCAGCATTACTTGTATTTTTTTTTTATAAGAAAAATGTGATGGTTGTGCAGCAGTGGCACATGATTTGGCACATGTTTCGCTCACACCAACTTGAAGGGCAAGTACTGATAGATTTCCAGTTCTCTTGATTACCTTTTAGTGAACTGTGGCCTTCCTGCACCTCTTCAGTGTGTGTCTGAATGGGGCTCATTTTAGCGCTTAAAGCATCTCTTTTTCATGAGGACTGATCAATAATACACATTAATCCTGCTCTGAGACCCTGGCCATGAGCTATGGGTGATAAATGAACTGAAACCTTCCCTGCTGCTTTCTCACTCATATCCCCTCAGTTTTTGCATTTCTCTTTGATCAGTCGTTTTTCTCGTTGTCTCTCCTGAACAGATTTTGGCCTACACAGAGGGTCTGCATGGGAAATGGCAGTTCACAGAGATCAGGGCAGTTTTCTCTCGCCGCTATCTGCTACAGAATACAGCGCTGGAGGTCTTCATGGCCAACAGAAGTAAGCTCTGATCCGCTGCTGTTCTGGAAAGTCTCAAAAGGGTTCAGTTTTTGAGGAGATCATTATACTATAGAAAACATGTTTCAAAATTTCAGTTCTAAAAAGATCATTTAACAATTTTTCCCTCTAATGTTGAGTCAACCTTAGAGGGAAAAATAGACATGGGGTAATGATATATAAAATATAATTTACATTTTAATTGATATTTTTAAAAATCGTAAAATAATAAAATGACTCTTTAAAACAGTTCAACAAAAATTTTGCTTATTTACACCTAGTGCATAAAGTGTATAATAAATTTTCTTTTCTCCTTACAGCGGCAGTCATGTTCAACTTCCCAGATGCGGCCACAGTGAAAAAGGTGGTGCACTGTCTCCCCAGAGTTGGAGTAGGCACGAATTTCGGCCTTCCTCAGACCAGGCATGTTCTTTATCTCATGTGCACCGTTCATTTACAGAAGTAAACACTCCTTTTCCCTCCTATTTGAAATCTAGAATAAAGCTATCCATTAGCATTTCCATTCATCTCAATGACACTTGCACTTGTGCAGAAGTGTGTGATTTGAAGTCTGCCATAGCTCTTGGCTCTTTTGGCTAAGCATTCACTTCCGTAAAACATGTTTCTGGCCTAACACTGCTGGTTTGTGTGTGTGTTAATATGTGTGTGGTGTCAGGGGTGTCTGTAACACTGCCTAATTACGTTCACACAAACACAATTCACATCATTTATTTATCTCCCCAACTGAGAAATAAATACAGGGGTGAGAGCAGAGCCTGCGGGGCAGACTGGAAACACGGGAAACACACACACACTGCTGCTGCTGCTGTAGTTCAGCCAAACAAAAGATGATTTAGACAAGTGGAACTCCATCACAATATCCCTCTAAATCAGTGTTCTTATTAAAAGTAAAAGTTCTGTGAAATTAAGTAACTAAAACAACAATGTGGGTAACAGAATCTAGTGAATATTGATTCCACACAGGGCAGAGAGGTTTGACCATTACAGACAGCCCTCTCCTGCCATGTCTTTCTGCTAACATTCGTGTGGCATTTCCTTAGCGTCGTGACTGCCTTGCCTCTGTGTTAGGAGGGGCAAAGGGCATTGGAAACTTCAGAGAGGCCTAATGACTGTAATCACGCTGGGTGACAGTGATGAATTCTCTAATTTCGCTTTGTTTTAATTGGATTGGAGAATCATTTGTTTTAGTGTCCGCATATTTGCTTGCACTGTGCATGTTCATTTAACAGGTTCGCACATTACCCATGAGGCCGCTGTGTGTCTGTGTTCATGTCTGGATTTGGATGTAGGTTATATTCGGAGTTGCTGTCATTGAATCGGACTGGCCGAGTGGTATTTCCTATAACAGTACTGGAATGTTTTACCGCTTGTGTCAGTCTTCTTGTCTGTGTTTGATTCAGAGAATTTGAATATTGGTTTCTCATGGACGTATTAACAAAACGGCTAATCATACTGTGCCTTTTTTTTATACAAATGTTGTATTGTTGTATTACCGAGAAAACCTACTTTGATAGAAAACCCATGCATATGAAGCTGGATATGTGACACTAACATTCAAAAGTATCAGTTTTCAATTCTCACAGCATGTTAAAATTGTTTTGAAGTTATAACATAATATTGTGCAAGGAATTGTGAGGAAAATTAGGTTTTCTTAATCAAAACTGGCCCTGTAAATCATACTTTGTGTGAAAAGGAATAAAGGTTTTACTGCCTCTAGTGTTCATTTCAACTGGAAACTGCAGCGATTCGTGTGTATAGGTAAGTTTTTTGAGTTTTGCAGGAATGTAGGTAGAGGCAGGTATTTCCAACAAGCCTGGGTAGGTATTTTTCCGCATAGTCACAGAATTCTGAGGAGACTGACACAATTACGCTGCACTATTTTGTTTGTAAGCCTGTGAATATTGAAACAGCAGGATTCAAAAATTGAAACTAAAGAGCTTTATTCTGTTGGAGAGTCAACAGATTACTGGAACAGCTAGAGATTCTCTGTAGATCTCACTGCATTTTCATCCAATTTGCTGCAATTTACATGTGGCTTACGCCATACTCTGTACAATTTTTTTTCCCCGATTATGCATATTTCTTAATTTACAAAATATACCGTAAACAAAAAGTGCTTCTATTTGAAATGGCACATTAAATAGCATATTGCAAATCAATTGAACATTTCAGGTTACCGAATTTCTAAATGTGGTTTGTCTTTTTCTGACAGACGGATTTCTCTGGCCAGTCCGAAACAGCTCTACAAGGCCTCCAACTTGACCCAGCGCTGGCAAAGACGAGAGATCTCCAACTTTGAGTACCTCATGTTCCTCAACACCATCTCTGGTAAAAACTGAACACTGAATGCACTGATGAAGCTGAATGTACTGATGTACACTTCTGTGTGACACAACAAGCCACAAAATCTCTCTCTTCCATGTTAATCTGAGTGTCTGTCCTACTTTGTTGGTGACCTACCTTTTATTTTTTGCTATGTTGGGCCACACTGACACCTCGTTGAACCAAAGCGCTACGACTGGAATCTCGTCACAGAGTTTGGAAAGTTATTTGAACTAATACTAAAGGGGCCACGTATTTGAAACAAAAAAATAATAGTTGTCTTCTGCTCCCTGTAGTCACTGTTTCTTCAGTAACTGTGTCTCTTTATGCGAGACCCCTTGTATTTATAATGAACATGATGATGATGAAGTAAGATCATGATAATGGTAATAAAGGTGTGAGGAGTCTCGACACTTCTTGTGTTTCAGGCCGTACGTTTAACGATCTGAACCAGTATCCTGTGTTCCCCTGGGTAATCACCAACTACGACAGCGAAGATCTCGACCTCACTCTCCCCAGCAACTACAGAGATCTGTCCAAGGTAAACACATGACCACATACACTCACACAAACAGTCTGAGCCTCAAAGAGCTCCTGTAGGTTCAGAGACTGTAGGACATGTCTGAAGAGAAGTTTCGAAAACCCGAATACATGGGAGTATTTGTGTGAAACATGCCATGCAGACAAGTCAGATAATGGGCCTGTGCCCCTCAATCAACCCCTACATCCCGCCTTCACCTCCTCCCCCATTTCCCGTTAGCCAGCCAGCCTCCCTAAGGAGCTAATTAATGAGCGTAGTAGTACTTGAGCTAAACACACGGACAGACTGACACAGCTCACTGCTGGGAACACCAGACCTGCCTTTGTCTCTCTCAGGCTCTCGCTTTATACATTTGATGCAGTTTTTGTAACAGTGTAACAGTGCAGCATTTTAAATATTTTTTATTCATCATATAGTGTCATAACTTTTTTTTTTTTTTAATTTGAAATCTTCATTTAATTTCCAGGTTTAAATATTTTTGTATCCCAGATGTTCAGTGTGTGCTCAGGGTTTAAATACTGTATAAAACATTAGAGCTGGGTAAAAAATGTTGATTTCTCGATTCTCATTTTTATCGTTTGTCAGATAATGAACGGAACATTGTAGCGCACCTCCCATCCAATAAAGTGCAATAAGCGTTTTGTTACTTTTGATATGAAACAAAGTCTCAGATTTCAAATGCTGTCCATTTTATTACAATATTCAAATATTAAATGCCTTTTTGGCGCTGTTTAATGTGGAGTGACAGATCGTCTCCTCCGCTTTAATAGCAGTTACAACATGAAATAAACATGAATGAACATCTGAAGGTATGAGTACAACTTACCGAAAACCGTATCCTGTCTCATGTATTTAAAGTTAAAGTTAGTATTATAACTTTAATATTACAAAAACTTTGAGTATATTTTAAGTGTTTAAATCAGAAAATTTCAACCTTCCATATTATTGACTCTCAGGCATATTTTACAGCATTAGTTGAGAGGTTTTTTTTTCCCTTGAGAAAACTTGCCATGTCCTGTACCTGATATATATCCAAAATAATCAATATCGAATCGAATCGAAATCGAATCGAATCGCAAGCTTGTGAAGTATACTTTAATCGAATTATGAAATTTGTGTCAAAACCCAGCCCTATAAAGCATGTATATGAAACATGTCAACATAAATATAATGATTAGATATTTAGAGTCTTACATTATAGCATGGCATATGTCAACGGTCGCTGACTTTACCCATAATCCATATTAGAGCTTTGCGAACGAGGCTCTTTTGTTCTCTTAAATCAGGACTCAGACTCAAACACTTGTGGTCCTGATGCCTTGGTCTTTAATTGCAGTCGGTTGTTGTGTCAACTACTAATAGCTGTTTCGCTGAAGTGACGGTGATTAACCAGGATTAGTCAGAAGGAAGAACATGCTAGTTCTGATATTCCGTCCTATCTGTCCTGTCCATTTTATTTAAATCATAAATCACTTATGTTTGTATCTCAAAACCATCTTGAAGAGCTCCTTTCTCAGTCTAGACCGGATGAATATTTCATGTCAGGGAGCTGTGGGGCACTCCTCCAAAAGAATGCTCTTTACTCGCATTGCACCATTTGGGTAATTGAGTTGCACGACAAAAGTTACGTTTTAAAACTTCACTTTAAAAGTGCTTGTGAAAGCTTGCCAGTCACTGCCTCAAAAATAACCATCCGTTTCATGTAATGGTGACCAATGGAGGGAGGACAGAGGATTACTTTTAGAGCTCAGATGATCAAACGAGTGTCCACTCTGACCCAAAATGGCAGAATAAATCAGTTCTAACAGGCAGGAAAACAAAGGACTGAGAGATAATGGAAGATGAATTCCTGTGCAGAAAGAATCATGCGGTGCAGAAGTCACCCTTACTGTCTTCAGACTGAGACGATCGCTCACATATTGCTCTCCAGTGCAGATTTATATACATGATGCTATCTGTATCTACTGCACTGCCTTTAGCAAAGAAATATCTCTGTGTTTTACCAATTCGGATTCGGCAAACAGCATGTTTCTTTCAGGTACAGACAGAGTAGGTCAGGTTAATAAGTATTGGATATAATTATAATAATTTCAGTATAGTCTAGCTGACAGGATAAAATATGCATTGTTTTAATGTAATTTGTATTTGACAATTAACTTAAAGTTCCTAAAGACAAAGGGTCTTTTTGGATTTCAGTTTCATGATTTGCAAGTATGAGAGCAATAAGAGTCTTTCAATAACGTCTCTGATTTAAACCTCAGTAACAGTGCAGTATTGTCTATCAATTATTTCAAACTGTCCGTTTAAAACAATGTCACAATTTACCAGATCTTTACTATTTCTTTACTGTTTCATCACTCAAAAATATTCACAGACGCTGTGACATGCTTAGATTAGATTAGATTAGATTCAACTTTATTGTCATTTTGCAGAGTACAAGTACAGAGCCAATTATAATGTTATAGTAAAAATTAAGGCTGTCAATCAAATCATGCAAATCATCTATATACATGCAATGCGCATATACAGTGTATATATATATATATATATATATATATATATATATAGTTTTCAGCTGGTAGACAGTTATCTTTCCTTCACTGCATACTTGAACAAATAAATATACCCAGAGACACTTACACACAGCTTGCAGCATATCTCTTTATTTATTTATTAATTTGTTCAGCCCCGTTCTGTTTCTTTGCAATGGCTTCCGCCCACTCGGTTAAAAGACAACAGTCCTATACACCATCCTGCATCACCCTCACCTTTGTTTCTCTCTCTTTCCATCCCTCCCTCCCTCAAACTCTCTCTCTCTCTAATTTTGACAGCCTTGCCTTTATGTTCAGTCAAGCTTTCAAGCCTCAGGGAGAAACGGAGGCCGATCGAGAGCAGCCCCTCCCTCTGCAGCCAGCAACAGCAAATCTCAACAATCTTTATTACAACTGCTTTATTCATGCTGTTGACACAGGCAATATCAGTGTATGAGCGGTGGACCATGACAACACCGTCTCGCCTGCGAAGGCCATCTGAACCTTGTATACGCTGTGTGTCTTTCTCTTTTTGTCCTTAACCCCTCCCGCTCTCTCTTGTCATCTGCGTATGCCACGTCCCAGCACTGCTTTGATAGAAGCAGGTCATGTGGGACCTTTTACACAGCGAGGTGAAATTGCTATAGATGCCGTGTCACACGCACGGTCTTCCCTGCGGGCAGAGGAATGTGCTTCATGAATTTATGTTCCTTTTGTCTCATCGTTATGACCCCGCTGGCTTTCTTATCATAAACTCTAACCTCTTCGTGACATCTGGTGCAGCCAGAGTTATCACTGCAGCCAGAAACAACAAAACTGACTCAACTGAGTGAGCCAAAATAGGTTTTTGCTTCTTATGCGTCTCATTTGTCACAGGTGTGTTGATCAGTTATGTTTCTTTTCATTCTTTTGTATCTTTTATACTACACTGCAATACATATCAAAGTGCATCATTGTCATAATAGGATTACGACTGAAATTGTTCCAAACGTGAGACAGAGACACGCACACAGGTCAGGTAGAGAGAGCGAATCTGCTGTATTCATTTTTATTGATGTGCTGTAGCTTTTCTACACTTCCTGGACAATATTGTCATTAAGAAACTGGCTTTTTTTAGCTAAGTTCATTTTACAAAAGAGTAACAGGATGGAATTTGAGGACAGAACAGAAACGTATACGTTGAAAGGTTTGAAAGGGAAAAAAATAACTTAAATATTACTTAATAAATTGTCTAATGTTAGAAGTTATAAGTGGAGACACTGTAAATGGCAACAAAAATTACTTTCATGTTCACTTAAAGTCACGATGTAATGGAACTGGCAGCACATTTTCTTACGTATTATGATGTACATCTGAGTAAAACAGATTATCAAAAAATAAAAAATGTAGGGCAGTTTTCTATCTATTGGTTGTTGGTTTGGATGGATGCAGATCTGAACGTGAGCTTGCAGTCGATTCTAAGAAAAGGTGGGTTTAAGTGGAGTAAATAATTGGAGAATATGTCAGCAAATGTCTGTCATTTAACCGGAAGATCGAGCTATGACCGTTTGATTAAAAATTACAAGCTCAAAAAAAGTTAAAAAATTAAAACATATGCATGGATGAATCGATTAGATCAGTAAGATGCATTTAGAAAACACTGTGAATTTCCATTTCATGCTGACTTTAATTGTAATATTGTGATTTTATATTAGTATATTAAGAAATATATGATGGGGACATCCTATACTAGTGCGGTGACAGTTAAAAGGCATCCTGACTAAAGCATATTATTATATTTGTACATTAACAAAGGTAACACCAAATGTATTGACCTGTTTCTCCAACCTCACTGTGATGTGGTTAATGGCATATTGATTCGCCCTTCATCACATCATTTACACCCTTTCAACTGAGCCCTAGATACGCATTCACACCTTCTGTAATGCATGCTTCAGCTTCAGACATTTCCTAATTCTGATGCCAGAGTTTCATTCATTTATTCATTCACTGACTCAGAGATTTATTTTATTGAGAAAGTAGATTTCAAATAGTTCCTTATGTGATATTTAGTCATTTAGCATAGTGTATTAGTTCTTCTAGTAATATATTACATTGCACCGCTTTTGCTTTCTGTGTTTCAGTGCAAAAAAACTAAAAAATTAGGTCTTATTCAGGGCTTAAATTAAGTCACTGTCTAGTCAAGCACACTTTCTGCATTTAAAGAGCCAATTCAGGTGCCTAGATCACAGTGGTGAATGCAAATTGTGTCCAGCACAGAATTTTTTTGGGCATGTTTGTGATTTCTATAATTCGTGAATCGTGTGCAAATAAAAAAAATCTATCAGGCGCAATTCATGAATTCCCCCCTCAGAAACCCTGAATTTTGAGCCGCACGGTGAAGTGCTGATACTGATAGCTACCGGCAGTCTGTTCAGATTTGCAGTCTAATTAAAAACATTGGGGCAGCTCATTTATTTGAGCCGTCACTAGAGAAATATTCAGCAGTGCTGCCAGAGCGTATTAGGGTCGGTGGTGTGCGTTCACTCCATCACACCGCGCTGTGGTACAGGGATAACCCTGATGAACGACACTGTCACGAGACCCTATTGTACTGGAGCGCCTCCGACCGTAATTTACTGCCGTAAACAACACGAGGGGTCCGCACACACACACACACACTGATATACATGCACACACATTTACACATTCACATAGAAACACACACAGTGAGCTATGACAAATGTTTTTTATCCTGCTCTCCCCTTTCTTTCTTTAATGAGGGTCCTGTTATTACCGCAATCAATCAGTTAAATCGCACAATGTTTAATTCAGTATGTGTTCTCACCGTAGTTGCCACAAGAGAGCAGACCGTGTGTCATTGTCAGCCCAGGGCTTCACTCCAGTTTAACACACAAACACACACACAAAGACACAGACACACAGACACACTCACACACACAGACACACTCACACTCACACACACGGACACAGACACACTCACACACACACACACGGACACAGACACACACACAGAACACATTCAGCATAAGTCTATTACATTTCAGTGGCAATTCTACAAGCTTTAGTGATTTACAATCAAACGTTGATTAAACAGCTCTCCTTTTTAAATCTCAATTAAATCCCAAGACATAGTTTAATCACGATTATATTAGAACTAGTGAAATATAATTAAGCTCTATTTTTAGGTGAGCACCACAGCCCTTGGCCTTCTTGCACAGTGTTAAATCTCACATTAATGCAGGCACACATAAACACACAAGCACAGCGGAACATTAAAAGATACAATCATCCATATTGTGCTTGCACCATTGTGATCAATAGAAAAGCAGCAGAGGACCCTCATTACACAGCTATGATATGAGAGGGACATGGCCGATCTGTCCTGCCCACTCTCATTTCAAGGAACTCCATCATTCCATTACTATTGATCATACTAAGGTATGAGAGACAGACAGAAAGCTTTAGTTCAAGAGTAATAAAGACTCAGCAGGGTAATAACAATACATATACATGAGCATTTACTGTAAATAATGACCTGCTTCCATACGCTTCCATCTTCAGATCAATGAAGAATTAAAGCAGCTAATCAATGCTTTGATAAAACCCAATGCAGGGCAAGAGAGTATTAACCATATGAGCTCTCATATGAACTCCCCTGCATTACTTTCCGTTTGCTATTAATGTTTAACACCATTAAAAACTGAACCAAAGCACGCACATCAATAGCAAAAAATGCTCAAAATTGGGTGCTAGACAAAGAAGAAGCGCAAAACGTTACCTTGTGTGAAGTCCATTATTAAATTGTTTTGCATTTTTGGAGCCTATGGTGTGCCGACTTTTGTTTGTTGATGAACACCTTTATGATTGTATTATTTTTTTTAATTATTTTATTCAGCAAGGATTAATTAAATTGATAAAAAGTGACAGTAAAAGCATTTACTATAAGACATGCTATAAGATTTATATTTCAAATAAATGCTGTTCTTTGGAACTTTATATTTGTCATTCACTGAATCTTGAGAAAAAAAAGTACCACTGTTTCCATAATATTAAGCAGCATAACTGTTTTCAACATTGATATTGTTTCTTGCGGACCAAATAAATATATTAGAATGATTTCTGAAGGATCATGTGACACTGGAGTAATGATACTGAAAATTCAGCTTTGAGCACAAGAATAAATTACTTTTTTAAATTTATTAAAATAGAAAACATTATTTTAAATTGTAATGATATTCAACAATAATACTGTTTTTAACGATCAAATAAATGGAGCCTTGGTGAGTTTAAGAGAATTTTTTAAAAAACATTTAAAAATCTTACCGACCCCAAACTTTTGAACCGTTGTGTAAATAAACACAATTATTTTGTGAATTGTGAGCTTTTATGTTTATTCACAGCTACAGAAAACAGACTGTTGAATCTCTTTAAAATAACAGTCTATTATTGATGAAACTTTGCAGCTGCACTAAATTATTATTTAAATAAATGATTAGCATTAATAAATTATTACTTTTCCCAGATGTAACACCTGTGGTCCTTGTTCTGACAGCTAACTTAATAATTTATTGCTTTGGTTCTTGAACATTTGTGCTTTATTAATGCAGTTTTATGTTTATTCCAATAATGTTGTCCTTTCTCATTACAGCCCATTGGTGCACTCAACCCAAAGAGGGCTGCATTCTTCTCTGAACGCTTTGAATCATGGGAGGACGCGCAGGTGCCCAAATTCCACTACGGCACGCACTATTCCACCTCCAGCTTTACTCAGATGTGGCTACTGAGGATTGTAAGTTGCACATACACACACAAGTGTCACACTGTAACACGGAAATGTGATTAACACCAAAATGCTCCAGCACCAGTTTTTAAATCATTTTTATGGCATCAGAATAGAAAAGCCTGTCAGCGTGCCATTTGTCAGTGCGTTATTTCACTTTCTTTAATGTCTGTTTATGTAGGACAAATAAACGGGACATGGTCATAATTGTCCAAATGATTTGCCACTTTTAAAGGGTTGTTAGACAGCGGCTCTGTGCTCTTCATGCTGCGTCAAAATGCTACACATTCATCATGTGATCTGTTGTGAAGCACATTGCAACTAATTGTTGTTTATAATTGGGCATGTGTGCGTGCTCAGTCAGGTTGATTTATTGTTATATTGAAATGTAGGCCTTATCTGCATACTAACAAACACACAACACATCGCTCATCTTCCCTTCATCCTTTGTGTTCTAATATCTGCAGAGAACATAGACGTGACACTCCGGAGGAAAAATACTTCATATGCTTTATAACAGTATTTTGATGAAGCATAGTTTTGTTCAATATAACCAGTTCTGTATTCATTTTACAGTTACGTCCCATAATCCTCTGCAGCTCTCAAAGCCTTTGTACAATGTCAGTTGCTTTAGATTTAAATTAGTTCTGTGTTTATTTTCAACTTTATTTGTAATGTTTAGTGTATTCACATATTCTACACACCAAGAGAGAGAGCACTAGAGGTCACTAACCTATTCCTGGCCGTCACTGTAATTGTTACAGTTTTTCACTTTCATAGCCATTCCCTGTTGGCCCATTGTATTGATCCCATCCCATTATTATCAGGCTTATCCCAAATCCACTTCACCAAACACCCTAATTCATGTACCATAGCACAAATCAGCAACCTTGTGATATCGAGGCTCTTGACAGAGAAAAGGCGGGTGTTAAATTCAGTCAAGCACCCAAAAGCCTCAGCGTAATTAGGGTATCTTTCTTTCATGGTGAAGCTTACTGTGGTGCTATTCACTCTAATTGCATCCTTCTCATCGGGGAGGTATTGTTTCAAAAGAACCACCTATTGATTCTGCACAAACAAGATTAAGCATGATTAGAAAATAACAAATAATGCACTTGTAAAGGCTTTAGTGTCTGCCCGGGGTTAATAACAGGTTTCTTTAGCATTTAGGTCCCTCTTTTGGGGAAGAGGATGTCATTTAGTGCACACAAATTAGAATCATATTGTATAAGGCTTTGTTATGAACAGCAGGCATTGATGCTAAATAAGAGAAACTTACCGGGTTGCACGTATTGAAAAATCGTTCAAATTACAGGCTAAAGACTGATCAAAGTAGGCTCGTAGTTATTAAATACATGATCTTTGTTCATTGGAATTTGCCCTTTAGTTGTTTTAGCTCCTAACATGACTTTTTAATACTCGTTTTAGCGTGAACGTGTGTGTGGACATTCCTTATTTTCTACGTTCTCTTTTATTCTCAGGAGCCTTTCACGACATTCTTCCTGAATTTCCAAGGTGGGAAATTTGACCACGCGGATCGCACTTTCTCCTCAGTGTCCAGAGCCTGGAGAAACTGCCAGAGGGACACGTCTGATGTGAAGGTACGTCAACATATGTGCATGACACTCAGAAATGCTTTCTGAGTCATTCTAACATAGAAATGCTACTTATTTTTAATTTATTGTTATGCATCCATATTTATACACATGCACAAAGCTGTACTTGTGCTTATTTCTTCTCGATCAGGCATCAGTCGGTCCCTGGCCTGGATTTGGTTTTCGCCTTCCACTGATATTTTGTTTTTCACAAATGTGGAGGCTATTACATGATTAGACGTTTCTGTAGTGAGTTGACTTCCTCTTGGTAACCGGAGCTTGCTGGGACTTGGTGTGAGGGCAGTCGTCATGGAGACACCACAGCCCGGCTGCCCCCATCACCTCTCCATAAAAACTGGCCCTAGCACATGTACAGTCACAACCAATCCTTGTCATGCTACCATGAAAGTGTCAAGGGTCCTTGATCAAAGCTTTAAACTAATCTTGATTTCGAACTTTCCCCCCTTTCCTCCCTTACACTCTCTCTTGCAAAACCTTTCACAACTCTCTAACCCTCAGTTGAACCTTTTGTCGTTCGGCCCCAAACCAAAGTCAGACAGCAATCTCAAATGCTCACCATAGCCCCTCAGAGACCCTTCAGAGTGTTCGGCATTGACTTTAACAAATGTCCAGACCTCTTGAAATATCTATTACAACAGACAGCCATTTTGTTAGCATGCTCGTTGCATGCTTTAATTTTTCAGGGGCTCATTTGGTAATAAGACATGTGGCTCACATTACATGGTCTCACTTGATACCGAAAGCCCAGTTTGGTTTCTGCGTAAGCTTGTCACTGTGGATCAGCGTAACAGGATTGGCGTGCATCAAAACCGAATGGAGGACTTGACTAAAAACCTGGAAATCACCTTCAGTTTATTTGACTTTGAAGCTGTGGAACATTTCAAACATGCTCAACCTTGCAAAAAAGGTCTGATAGGTGCAAATGAGAAGCAAAGAAGTGCCTTCAAATGTAATAATGTATCAATTTGCCATGCTGTTATCCCTTTTTCTTAAAAAAACAAAAAGCACAGCAGTCCCCCCACGTTTAGAAACACTCCCCCATTCTACCGAGGGGTGAAAAGCCTTTAGCAGTTTTTGTGTCCAGGCAAAAGAGAGCTATAATGGCCTAAAGCAACCCTGATCCTGTCTGTCTCTAGTCAGGCAAACTCTGGCCTGACCTTTAACCTCTATCCTCTGACCCCCGTGCAAAAGGCTGAAAGCAGTGTGGACACTGAAAGTTTCCCCTCAGGGGAATCAGAGAGGACCTAAGACGGGTCCCAGGGGCACCCCTCTCTATTGACCCGCAGCAGGACAGGATTTTGGATCACAGGTTTTGCCCTCTGATTGGTTAAGTGGCTCTGGGTCTTTGTGCCGCCAATGAAGATGCCAAATTTACTCCAGGCTCCATACATGAACCTCAGGGCACCTGGTGCCATTGTAAAGTCATGACCTTTTTGTTTTAAAGACTTCGGTTTTAAAGAGAGGACCAGAAAGAAGTGAGGCAGAAGGCTGGTTTTGAACCTTCCATCATTTGTTTGCTCACCTAATTGGCCACTCGCAATGCACACTTTATAGGAATACAGGCATTTCGAGTGTACAAGTTAGATTGCATTACAGGAATGGAAAAAAATGCTTTACCATTAAACCAACATGTCATATTTAATTAATTTGCTCATCTGTGGATTTATCCACTGACCTGCAAAATCCTGAGATTGACAGGGTCCGATATTGGAATAAAGTTATCGAGTTAAATGTCACATTTGAGCACTTGAATTGATCAGCAAGAATGATTGTTCCCTCCAAACGCTGTGTAATGAGATTTAAAAATCCCATTATTACAACTTTTAAAACAAAGTAATGCCCACGCATTTTATAAAGGAAGAAAGAGGTTTAGTCCTCTTTTCTGTGCTTTGACTGCAGTGTGCCTCTGCACTGCTGTTTGGATGTTCGTTATCAGGATGACATGCAGTTGCTCTTTCTTTGCATATTAAACTGGAGTAGCTCCATCTGCATCCCTCACTCAGACTGGCAGCGAGGCACAGATTAAAGGCTAAAGATTCAAAGAAGGAATAACTGATTCCTCAAGTCCTGATTCCCATTTAATGAGCTGTTATATTGTACAGGTATCTAGTATGTTTAGAAATGCATCTGCTTTGCACAATAGTCAGCTTTGTTTTCTTGTTTACTTTCCTGTTTGGAAAGAATAATTGAATGTCATTGTTGAATAATTATTTTTGATTGTCAAATATATCTAATTTAGGGATGTCAAAATCACTGTGTTAATGGATGCAATTTATTAATTAATTATAATTTTTTAAATGGCATTTGCACATTTATTAAATTTTTCAAATCATTCTGCTAATTTCATTCACATATTTTTGACATTTGGCAAATGTGATGTCGGCTTTTGAGTCTAAGTCTGCCACAGAGTGATTTTTCATTTATTTGTGATATCTGTTGCGTAGTAGGTTTGCATTTTTCTATACACATATTATACATAGATACATTTTATTTAGTTTTCTTTCTTTAAAAAGGAACGCACTTGTTAACACATCAGATACCAAAAAAAACTGAGATTAATTAAGATTGAATATTTAAATTGATTGCCAGCCCTAATATAATTATTTCATCAGTTAATAATGTGAAATTTGTCGTTAAAAAGCCTTTTTTCCTGTCTCTCACAGGAGCTGATCCCTGAGTTCTATTACCTCCCTGAGATGTTTGTCAACTCCAATAATTACAACCTGGGAGTGATGGATGATGGGACGGTGGTGTCAGATGTGGAGCTGCCGCTCTGGGCCAAGAGTCCTGAGGAGTTCGTTCGCATCAACCGACTCGTATGTTCACTCTCTGAGTCTCCATCTCTTTTCTTTCCCTCTCTCTCTCCATCTTTCTTTATCTCCCTTATTAAATTGCTGTTAAAGTGCTGATTGCGAGTGGCTCTGGCTAGCATGTCTGGCTCTTTGTATCTATTTGTGTGATTGTGTGTGTGTATGCTAACGCTGTGACCTGTTTTATGCTGATAATTACAACTCTGATATCAGTCTGACTCTCCCATTAATCATCTCTTTCTGTGTCACACACACACACACACAAACCCCCTCATCACTCTTCTGACATTCACACAGACGTTCACACACTTTCACTAAGTCTGTGTGTAGAGTTGCTGTTTGATCAGATAAAATGCTGGTTGCTCTTTGATGTGTGTACATGCTATAGGAAAGTAGTAGTCACAGACGTATTGACTGGCCTGTTGTGAACAGCACCAGTGCTGCATTAATTGGTGTCACTGCCTTACATCACAGACTCTGCGTGCCATTAAATTGCATGACTGTGTAATGTGTTCTGACACAGTCTAAACTAACTGCATGGTGTTCTGAATCTGTTACTAAATGTAAAACAGAGAGTGCAAAAACAGTCAAAGGATTTGTCATTGGCCCTTTAATTCTTGCAGGAATGGTCAATCTGACACACAGAAGTTCTGTAGTGAGAAAGACAGAAGGCAATTCAGTATAGTGTCTTTTATACTGATAAAGACTGAGAAAGACTGTCCAAGGATCAACTTTGACCTTTGAGTATTTCTCAGACTAGTTCCAACCAGTCATAGCCATTCCCCGGTTAGAGGAACGCTGACAGAAGTTTAAGCCATGCACACAGAGAAAAAACCGAAGGCCAACACCTGTGGAAATAGAACATATAGAAAATAGAGAATATGCAATATGGAAAATAGAAAATAATGAAAAATGCAGAAATTTCCATTATAATGGGCAACCTGTAGCCAGTAAAAAGTGTACATTAAATGTGACAAGAGATCCGTTGTTGTCATAAAAGTCAATGCTCTCAAATTTTTAGGATATTTTAAGCTGATATTGTCTTGATATTGTATTGCTTTGTCATCATGATAATAGCATGTCAGTTTTTGGAGTGACAACTGTGGGAGTGACTGTGAACAAGACCACTGACCCACTTTATTATTATTATTTTGGTGAAATAAATATTAGCAGGGATATTACTGACAGTATTTTTTTTTTATTGGATATTTTAGTGTGTTTAGTTTATACTAAAGACACAGGCCCTCTCTAGGACCACAATGTGTGGGTTACCCATGGACCGCAAGGGCTGATGTGCCCTTGACATGCATCTGTTTCCTCAAGCGAGCTATCAGTATCCAAAAGAGAGGGACATCAATGCATTAGCAACTTATTGTTCAGTTTAGTTCTTTGCTTCTCTTCTGGATTTGTATGTGCAGTAATGCATACAATGAACTTTCTATTCATCAACGCTTCAATAAAAAAAAAAAAATCACAGTTTCCACAAAAAAATATTAGGCAACACAACTGTTTTCAACATTGATAATAATCATAAATGTTTCTTGAGCACCAAATCAGTATATTAGAATGATTTCTGAAGGATCATGTGACACTGAGGACTGACTGGAGAAAATTCAACTTTGCCATCAATTTAATACAATACATTTTACAATATGTTAAAATTAGGGCTGTCAAAATGAACACCTTAATTGTGCAATAAATATTTTTCAGTTTAACACATTAAAAATATTTGAACGCAATTAACACCGGGTTACAGTAGACTAAAAGAACACGCTATCAAGCACAGTAAGGTGCAGAAGAGAAGTTCATTAGGTACTGGTGCGTGAAGCAGCTGTCTGTGAACACAGGCATCATAGAAAGCCACTTCAGACGCCTAGGTAACTAAGTCCTTACTTTCCTGTTACACTGGAAATATAAAACTGTCAATTATTCTCAATGGAATACCACAAAACCACCCAATGTAATAACACAAAATGGGTATCATTTTAAAGCTTAGAAACTCAGCTTTTTAATGAATGGAATTAATTCAACTCTCATCGAGTGCGGAGTAGTCCCACTAAAATGGAGTGTTCAAAACAACTGCCTTGATCAACAAAAAAAATTTGCCATTTGAAAGCTTAGAGTCTGACCTTTACAATGCATGTAGCCAATTTGGTTTTCATAATTTATGAAATATGTTTTTGTGCCATGTACCCTTAATATGTCAAAAACATCATACAGCTCAGATAGTCATGTGTCATATGTCATTTGAAAGATCTCACAGAGTAGAATAAAACAAGCATAATGACTAAACTTGAGCGAGGCATTACTTCTGTGTATGTCACTCAGAAAACAACTATTTCAAAACTGTCAGTGGCTAAGAAAAAGGCTACCTTGGTTCCAAATGCTGTAACTTTTGATTACTTCATGTTGTCACTATAAAATTTAATTCACATACAGCTAACACATTTTTCACCCCAAAACATTTTTTCCCCCTACCTTATTTTTTCCTGAGATATTGGATGTCAAATAAGACAGATATGTAAAATTTCCCTTGAGCACACACATTTTTCTTACACTTTTATCAGCTATTTCTCTGCAGGAGAATGTCCAAATGTAAAGACATTTTATTTTATTTTCCTAAAAATACAGAAAGTTTTCTATCAAACGAAACCTACCTTTTGACTCTCCTTGCTAGAGTTTTGGAGTTATGAGTCATTATTTTTGTGCATGTCACTCAGAAAAAACAACACCCTTCAGTATTTTTATTAGCAGTGTTTGGGGTAACGCATTACAAGCAACTCGAGTTAAGTAATCAGATTACTTTTTTCAAGTAACTAGTAAAGTAATGCATTATCAGATATGTTACTGCTTGTGATACTTGTAAATTCAGCCTGAGCTTTTGTTTCAGTGTGCAGTAGTAAAGAATGATTGAACAGCGTGAGTCATAAAGTTCGGCTGTGTTCAGCTGGTGTCTATAAACGCAAGGATAGCCACAGGTTTCGTCCTCTTTTCCAGTAATTAGACTTTTCAGTTTATCTTTTCATAATTCAAACAATGCTCTGATCTCTTAAATGTGCCCTGTCTCTGTCAGCAGATATTTTACACTCATCCCAGAAACCCCTCATTAATAGGAGCTCTATCTTGTGTGTGTGTGTGTGTGTGTGTGTGTGTGTGTGTGTGTGTGTGTGTGTGTGTGTGTGT